TTAAACACGCGTACTTGTAAGTTGTAACGTTATTATTAGGCCTATACATACGATTGTTAACAACCGGTTCGTGGAGGTCATTAAATTGTAAGAGCAGGTTCGCACGAACCGGCTGAATCCCACCACTGCATGTTTCTGAATTTTTTTAAAGTCTCCTCCATCAATAATATTCCCGAACGTTCTAGCTATTCTAGGACTACTTTTCAAACTTTCTAAATCTAGCGTTTTTATCATGATAGCAGCTTCTTCAATCAAACAATTAAAGATTAATTTTAAAACATTTAAGATATAGCTTACAACAGTATTAACTAATTATAGGAAGGCCTAGAAGCTTGAACGAGATTAAACCAATAGTCTGCTATTTAATTAAAGTTAACAGATAAACATTTCAAATATAAATTTTAGTGACGTAAGACTTGTTTTTCTCTAAGTTAAGTATTTTATTTATAATTTAATGAGGGAAAGTAAACTCCATGTGGCATGTAATCACCAACCAGCGGCATAAATAACAAGGCGATGAAGCAGCATTTAGTATTAATTATAAATATTTGCATTTCTTCCAGTAACAATTCTCTGTGAAGCTAAGGAAATGGTTGCCAAAGTAACATCGAGTAAACTATTTAATGGAAAGGTATATGCTAAGAAAAGACCCAATTCTTGTGTTCAAGACGTTGTAAACAGACTGGACTTTGAGATCAAAATGTCTTACCATGACCTTGATTGCGACGTTCAACAGCAGGTACGCTTGTACAATACTGTTTTTATTATTCCAGTACGTAAATAATTAATTGATTGATTTTCGTATTCGAAGTAATGGGTAACAATCTAGACTTTTGACATCAGAATTCATCACAGTCTGAACTAGTTGGTTTAATACTAATAAGGTTTTATACAAGGCTAAGATTTTGTGTGAAAAACTCAATAGATGGAATTCTGTCTACCCAAGAAGTTCAAATTTACTAAACTTCTTCAATTTTTATTGTTTTAAATTACAAGTAAACACTTGTGTGTTTTGTATTGTGAACAATGAATTGACCAACGTATTTTATACCATAATGAAAATATCTTTAGAGCTTACAGAACAAGAATCCCATGTAGCCATGTTCTTCCTTCTTTCTGTTTAAAAATATACCATTTCTGCATTTCGTATTGTTACGTCTCCGTTTGTTAATTAACTTTCCGTAACTTCGTTCCGACGAAACTTTAGCGACACAAGTTCTTTACTTAAAACTGGTTTATTCTTTCCGAATACAACTTTACGATACACTTATTTTCAACAATCGCGCTAAAACAAACGCTATATCAACGAACGTCAATAATACTTCTGACTGCAGTTCAATTACTCACTATCTTCACACACACATTACATTATTGCGTCACGTTGTCACCCTCTTATATATACTAGCCTACCCTATCTAGTAAATACTAGAGCATTCGCCAAGGTACGGGATAGTTCTAGAAACTAGAGGGCGTGAGAATAGTCACGTGATCTCGATGACGCAACAGTGTTGATAGTGATATGCACCCATCAACGGGAGTGACATTTTTCTTGAAGTACAAGTCCTTTGCCAGGACTGCATCAAAGTGTATGAACTTTTAAGTTTTCTAAATCTTACAGTTTCTCTTCATGTGCTGTTCAAATTGAATTAGCAAGACATACAAAAAATTAAGGAACTTTGTACAAGCCTCCAAATAAAGTAGCAGTACTATACTAGGAATCACAAAAATAACTGGTACTGAGTTCCAGTTAGTACTAACATAATTTCACCCCTGTCTGTTAGAAACTAGACTGCTTTATAAATCTGTATAACTTTCGGGTTAGATATGTCTGCTTAAACAATCATCCAATTTGTGTCATATTTAATTCATAATGCAGTTCTAAAACCTGATGTTTCATATCTGATGCCTCATGACTTATAAAATGGAGGTGCATATACAGTAATATGTTTCAACATTTACACACAAGTCTTTATGTTTTAATTGCATTCAATTACACAAGGTAACAAAACGTCTTTCATGGGGGTCTGTATGTGACCTAGTTTTTAGCATGCCTAGTCTGTGAACCTGAGGGTTTATCTCTCATTGCCCAAAAAGTCCCCTTGATGCTATGATTGCAAGTATGTGTTTATAAGAGTGAGGGTCAAATCCAACTAAATCCAACCAAAATTACCCCAAGACTTGGTGATTGGTGCTGTTTAGTAGAATTTTAAACAAAGCAAATCCTTCAACGGGCATGCTTTCCTTGATCTGATTGGATTAAACTGCTACATAAACCAGATCATGAAGGAAATTCCTTCCCTTGATGACTGACAATTTTTTAAAGTTATTCTGATAATGAAATGTTATTTTGAGATCTTCAATAAAATAGCTGGTATATTTGTGTATCTTATTCACAACAAAATCATCTAAAGATACTAAACGTATATGTACATTAAATTAGTACAAAAAACTAACTAGTTTATCATGAAGAATATTATAGTTTTTCTGCAAGTTTTCTTAGTATTTTATGTAAATCCAGTTCCATGGTTTGGTTTTAATTATTTCATCTGACCTGTCAAACAAGTCTAGTCATGATGTCATGGTATCAAATCAAATAAAATTTTTTTCTTTTTTTTTTTTTATAGGGCTTTGGTCAATTTTCCAATGATATTGTAATCCAACATCATGATATGATTGTTACAAATCAGGACTTAGGGTTGTCTGTCCACTGTCAGTATGACTTGTCCAACAGAAGTGTTGCAAATGGTGTACAGCTTGAAGTAAAAGGGTAAGTCATGTCAGTATTTATTTGAGAAGAGTGTAGTCAACAGTATTCAACTTTGTGTGGGTAAATAAATAATTCTTTGTCTGTTGTATTTGTTTCACAGAATTGTAGCAACTTGTATAACCAACTTTATTGTTTCCACTTCAAACTGTATACATTATGAACATTTTCTTATTTTACTATTTGTTAAATCATTTCTATACTTTATATAATCTTGTAGATAAGTCCAACATCTTATTGATTTTTGGCAGTTGTAATTTTTTTGAAGACTAAAACAGTAAAACAACTGTCTCTATTTCAGGTGCACTGTAAATAGAAAATCTAAATATCTAAATAAAAATAAAGCCACTTTTATAACATTAAAAGAAATCAATTTTCAAACCGAAAGCAAGAGCTTTTCAAAACATTTAAAATAAAGAATTTTGAAAGAAAAAAACAAAGGCCTCTATTTTCAAACACTTGGTCATTAATTTCTAATTGGATTAAAAACTGTCCACTCTTGTTAATTAGTATTTAACAGAAGAAGTTAGTATACCGATGAATAAAATGCATCATTTTCAAGAAGCCACACAACTAAATATTTCATGTAAAAATAGAAGCAAGTAATATGTAATGTGATATCATGGTGGTATGACATAATTTCCTTTTTTTTTACTTTATTCAGTGAGGTAGACACCAGTGGGAGTCAGTCTGCCATTGTTAACTCTCCTAATGTCACAATGAGAGTCACTGACCAGTCTGGAGATAATCTCCTCTCTGCTCAAGTAGGAGACCCTCTAGCTCTGCGGTTTGAAATTATGGATCAAGACAGTAAGTTTATAGGTTCTTCTTTAAAAACTAGAAAGAAAAAGTACGGGGTAACTAACTTTCATGTTTATAAAACTTCCTCTTTCTGTAAGATTGTGAGTAAATATACATTATGTTATCAATGTTTTTATATAGATATATGTACTTCTATATACACATGTATTTTTAATGTATATGTACATTTATATATAGTCATTAATAAGAAAAAATTAGAGGAATTAAGGAAAGAAAGTGAAGATACAAATTATAATTCATAAAATTTTAAAGGGACAAAAAACGAGCTTATTAGTCCATCAAGGATGTCCTTTCCAGCTCCCAACTATAACCACCCCTTACTACTCATGTATTCATCCAATCTTTTCTTGAACTCAGTTAAATCTTCTGCCTCCACCACCCTCTATGGCAGCTCATTCCAAAAGCCAACCACCCTATTTGAAAAAAATGCTGTCTAAACTGCAGACTACTTCTACGCTGCCAAAATTTGAATTTATGACCCCTTGTTCTATTTTTTCCACTGCTAAGCACAAAAAAGGTTGTTGGATCTATATTATCAATACCCTTAATAATCTCAAACACCTCAATCAAATCCTCTCTGACCTTTCTCCTCTCCAGAAAAAACAAGTTTAGAGATTTTAGTCTCTCCTCATAGGACAATCCCACCATCCCAGGTATCATTCCAGTGACTCTTCTCTGAACCTTCTCCAACAATTCAATGTTCTTCTTTGGGAAGGGAGCCCAAAACTATACACTGCATTCTAAATGAGGCCTTACAAGTGATCTATACAGTGAAACAATAATATCCCTTCTCTTGTATTCAATATTTCTATAGATGCTACCAAAAATCCTATTAGCCCCATTACTAGGTACAATATGCTGTTTAGATAACTTAAGTGATTTTTTTTTTATCACACCACCAAGATATCTTTCTTCAACTACAGTATTTAATGTATTTCCATTTAAATTGTAACAATAATTTGAATCCAAGTACAACGATGTCAGTTCAAGGGTGTTCTCTTTGTATTTGGTAATTTTTGGAGTTGATTAGCAGACCAAGGTAGCAGAAAATCTAGGATTGACTATCATGGATTAAAGATATTTGTATGTATGTATGTATGGTAATAGTTGTATATTAAAATATTGTGGTTGTTTGTCTTGTCTTCCTGTTATTAGGCAGAAGAGGAGTAAATGTCATGCATGTTAAAATTAAAACATTTTGTATAATCGATGTTTTGCCATAACTACTGTTACTACAGCATTATACACTATTTTGACAACAATGAGCCATCGTGTTTTTTCCATTAATCCACTCTATCCTCTTTACATACTCTCCAAAACTCGAGTAAACTGTTCAAACCATTTATATGTGCATGCATACTCCTAATTAAGAACTCATTCCACTTTCTTTGTGTACATGTAAAACTCTAACTTCCTTCCAGCCAAGTTATTTACACACACTTTTCCCCAGAAACCTTTTCTGTTGCTTCTCTATGTATAGGTAGGTTCTCAACTCCAAAAATCCATCCACTCCAGCCTTCTCTCTGTACAGTAGTGAACATCAAAAATCAGTTTTTTTAAATTGTATTATGTATCTTGTACTTATCTCGTGCTTAATAATGATGTACATTCTTGACTATATTGTATAAATATTGAGATTACCTTGTTGTTTGTAGTCTTCTCATGTGTTGATTCTTCCTGTCTAAAACTAGTTAGATATAGTGGAGCACTATTTTATAATAATTGTGTCAGGACCCTCACCATATTTGAAGAGGCATTATTTTGGCTTTTGTTTCAAATTATTATGGCTCTGGTTTATTTCTACTGTAACCTATATATATAGATCATTCTGAGATAACCTAGTATAAGTAGACATGTGTTCTAGTTCAATCCTGTCCTATTCTACATCACCTTATGTACACACCTCAGTGTCCATAATGAACTCCATTCCATTATTTACTCGATATGCCCAACCCCAATAATTCACCATTCGAGATTGATGGTTGTGGCACTCAATGCAAATCTGCGAATCATGGGATTGAAACCTGTCGCTGCATATGCTAGCCATTTCAGCTTTTGAGGTGTTATAATGTGAAACTTGTTATTCATCTATAAAGAATAGCTCAACAGTTGGTGGTTATTGGTGTTAATTAGCTGCATTCCCTCTGTTCTATCACCTCAGTTAAGTACGGCTAGCACAGATAGTCCTCAAGTAGCTGAGCACAAATTTCAATGAACAAATGCTATATGATTTGTTTCTACAGACACTTGCACGTCCCTAAAGCATCACTTTATTCCAGTTCATTCTAATATACAAACACCTTATCCCTGTTTCACATTTTTCTAGGAACTTCTCCCCAGTCTTGGTAATGTACTACCTCACTCCACTCCATTTTGTGATAATCTCCAACCACAATAACCATCCCATTCTACCCTTTTTTATATATGTATGTTTAACTAAAACAGTTTGCTTCATTTCACTTCTCTATGCATGTTTCCTTACACCTAATTGTGGATCTTAAAAGAAACAGTTTTGTTTATCAAAATACTAATGTAATGTCTTTAACAAATGCAGGTCCATATGAGATATTTGTTCGAGAGTTGGTAGCAATGGATGGAGTTGACATCAGTGAAATTCTCCTTATAGACAGCCTTGGGTAGGTGATCTGAATTACTTTATTGCAAAGCACTCATTACCAGATTCTCTTATGTTCTTCTTGCTTTTGTTACTACTAGTAACTAAACCTGTCATTAAAAGACTGTTTTACTAATCTTGCTTCTTTGAAATGACAAACCACTCAATATATTGTTGTGCCTATATAGATACAAGTTATAAAGTTAGCCTACAAGAATCAATCTGAGCTTGTTGTAACATTAACTAACATGTGTGTCTGTGTGTATATACATGTTTTTTTTTTTGAAATTATGTTATTTCACTAATACAGATTTGTACTGTAAGATACTGTATTTCTATCAATTATTGAAGTTAAATGTAACATGTTTAGTGTATTGTTGAATTATTAACAGTTATGGACCTCAAAACTTTAGTGAGCAAAATATCCTATAGCATGTAAAGAAATAGAATTAGAAAAACATTACTAGCTGTTACTCTTGCATCATTACAACAAATGTTTCATCTTGAGTCAGAATATGAGAAATTCTTAAAAACAGTTTGTGATAATAAAACACAGTTGCTTATTTCAGTTTAAAAATTTAATAATCCAGTTTTAGCTGTTAAAGACAGAGTATGTTCTGTTTTCCATAATGTAATGTGGTGTTTCTTTGGTGGTCAAAATCTCATTGCTGTTTTCTGGTGATTGGTTTGATGTGAAATGTGGATGGAAGTTATAAGTTTAATTCTCTAATTTGAATAGATGCTATTAAAAACTACATCCTTGTTTTTGATTATTAGGTAGATTAATTATTTTTATTGTAATTTAAGACCTGTTTTAAAAATGATTCCCCCACCCTTTATCATGGTGATTAATTAGCTTAAAAGATAACTGTATTAGTAATTAATTAAGCTCTTGTTAGTTTTTTTGCTTATGGAATATATTTATTAATAATTTTAATTAAAAGAAGGAAGACTTTTAATTTGTATGATTTCAAGTCGGTGTTCATGACTTTTCTATCCTTTTGTTTTCAGTTGTCCAACAGATGTCTCCATCATGGAAGCTTTAGAGAAAGTAGATGGAAATGGCAAAATTCTTCAGGCTTCATTTGATGCATTCAAGTTCCCCACTTCAGAATTTGTACAATTTAAAGCTTTGGTGACTCCGTGTATACCTAGCTGTGAGCCGGTGAGCTTAAAGCAAATGAAAATGTATTTTTAAGGACTTGTAACTTCCTAACAAATAATTTTATTATTTGTTTTTCAGGTTAAAAAAGCAGATTCCATACAAATTTCTCTAAATTATGCAAACACAAAACAGTTATGATTTGTTATCTATTCTCTGCTGTTTAAGTGTATACTGACAAGGTTCCATGGATCACCTTAGATGCCAAATATTTACTTGCAATAAATTTCACCTTGTCTTTATAATTTAATAAAATAGCAGGGTATAATGATGTTTATAAACCTGTTATAGTAAAGTTTACTTGAACATAAAATTTTCTGATAAAATGTATGATCTATGCCATCTCATGCTGGGGTGTGTTTGGATTGTAATGTTTAATTTATCTACTACTATGTCATCTTATGCTGGGGTGTGTTTGGATTGTAATGTTTAATTTATCTACTACTATGTCATCTTATGCTGGGGTGTGTTTGGATTGTAATGTTTAATTTATCTACTACTATGTCATCTTATGCTGGGGTGTGTTTGGATTGT